CCAAGCAGCTGGGACCACAGGCGCCCACAACAACACCCGGCCATTTTTTGGTTGCAGCTGTCATTGTTGTTTTGGCGGGCCCAGGCTGGATTCGAACCCGCCACCTTAGGTGTATGTGGCTGGCGCCTTAGCCACTTGAGCCACAGGCGCTGAGCTGGAATTTAATTTCTTAAGACAGAGTCTCATTCTGTTGCCCCAGGCTAGAGTGCCATGGCCTCTGCCTAGCTCACAGCAACCTCAAACTCCTGGGTTCAATTCAATCCTCCTACCTCAGCCCCCCTAGAACTACATGGGCCCACTACAATGCCTGGCTAGTTTTTTTTTTATATTTTTAGTAGAGATGGATAGGGTTTCACTCTTGCTCAAGCTGGTCTTAAACTCCTGAGCTCAAGCAATTCACTCACCTCAGCTTCCCAGATTGCTAGGATTACAGGCATGAGCTACCATGCCCAGCCACAACCAATGTTTTTGAATTTTTATTTTATTCCTCTCTTCATAATTTCATTCATCAATGTGATCTTCAGACCACAAACCAGAAAAGAGATAGTAAAAAATAATAAAATTTTATTATTATGAAAATAAAATACAGATCTCATTGACCAGTGAGGAAAGGGAATGTTGAGACCCATGCAGAAATAAAATCAGTCTAATATGAACAGAATCTCTTAAAACATTCAAAGGGAAAGGGGGGTTCTACAACAGAAGACTGCAATCAATCAATGATAAATCAAATGAAAGTTCCTTCCTTCCTTCCTTTCCTTTCTCCCTTTCTTCCTGAGACAGGGTTTTGCTATATTGCCCAGACTGGTCTTGAATTTCCAACTTCAAGTAATGCTCTTGCTTTTGCCTCCCAAAGTGCTGGGATTATACGCCTGGCCAAATGACCATTTTCACTAGTACATGATGCAGTTTGCTGCTCATATATGTGTTTCAGTGTATCATTAACATTAGCAATCTTGCTGATAAACATGAAAGACAATAGTATTCACAGAATAAATACTATATGTAACACCTGCATATTTAGGTTACTATGAAAATCATAAATCTAAAATCAGCCTCATATCCTCAAAGTGTAAAGAAACTTTTAGAAATCAAGCACAGAATCCAATCTGTTAATTTTAGAAAACATGCTAAAAACTAGAACTTGTAAAAAGCTTCACAAAGTTGCCTCTTACAATGTTTCCTTCTTATAAAGTTTGTTCCTTTATAAAACAAACTTATTTAATCCAAAAATGGAATGAATTTAAACTGTAAAAACAAATGTTTGTCATTAAATTTCTCATTAGCATTCAATGAAATAGACCAATACTAGGCGTTGTTTAATGTATAGTATTCTTAACAGAATTCTTTCTTCATAAAACAAGTATTAGTAGAAAAATTTCTACCCAAATTAACATACAGTGAAACATAAAAATCTGTCAGTACTTTTATTTATTTATTTATTGAGACAGAGTCTCTCTATGTTGCCCTCAGTAGAGTGCCATGGTGTCACAGCTCACAGCAACCTCAAACTCTTAGGCTTAAGCAATTTTCTTGCCTCAGCCTCCCAAGTACCTGGGACTACAGGTGCCCACTGCAATGCTTGGCTGTTTTTTGTTGCTGTCGTCCTTGTTGTTTGACAGGCCTGGGCCAGATTCGAACCCACCAGTGCCAGGGTACGTGGCCGGTGCCCTAGCTTTGAGCTACAGGCACCAAGCCAGAACTTTGAAATTATTAAGAAAATATACAGTAACTTTTAACTCCAAATACTTAAACATTCAGTATGCTTAGCTATGAAATGAGTGAGGTGGACTTCAACAGCTTTAAGGCAAAGGTTCTTAATCTGAGATCTAGTCCATATTTGGATTCTCCATGGAAACTATATGCAATTTTTTTGTATATTTAGCTATGGGCATATTTCTGGGAAGAGGATCCATGACTTTACTCAGATTATCTAAAAGATTAAGTATTACTGCTCCAGGGGATTTTCTAGTTCTAACATTTTAGAATTATTTTATTCATTCAACAAACATGTTTTTTTTTTAAAAAAAAAAAAAAGAAAGAAATGGTAGGCTTGGCACCTGTGGCTCAAGCGGCTAAGGCGCCAGCAACATACTCCTAAGGTGGCGAGTTCAAATCCAGCCCAGGCCCGCCAAACAACAATGATGGCTGCAACCAAAAAATAGCCAGGCATTG